GCGTAACCTCATGATGCTATGGCGGGAGTACAAGCGTGCCGACGAGGGGTCGGGCAACGGCTCTGTGGAGAAACCACCTTGGTTTCCGTACCTGGAGCTGCACAACCAGGACACCGCCGCAGCCGCACCGCATGCCGTGGACGGAGGTGGCGCGAATAACGTCAACGTCCCGGCGGGCATGGAGGTTCCGCAATCGTCCCAGCCAGGCACGTCAACTCCTTGCTTCACAGGTGAGTCCGGGGTATTATGTTCGGCGTTGTGGTTCTTGTTTTCTCGAACGCGTTGTTTGTACACGCTTTTTTAAAATACCACCATGTATGCCACGAACATCTACATCGTGTTTACCACACAAACTAACCTACTACAAATGTCCCTGCTATGTCGCAGCTCCTCCGCCAACGACCCCTGCCACACCCAGGCGTGCCCGGGTGCATGAGACGGCCACCATGCAAGCGGCGATGCTCGTCTCTGCCACGATCAAGGACTGCCATGGCGACGCGATGACTCGCATCGAAGGCCTCGTCCGTGAATGGATGGCGCAAGATCTCCGACTTGCTCGTGAGCGTATGACAGAGTCGGCTCCCCCGGATGTGCACCGCGCGCCCCAGGATTTCTCTCCACCGCCGCCACGCAGGGAGTCCGCGCCTGCTCCCGAAACCGCATGGACGCGTGAGGACGTGGGCGACGGCAACACCGTTACTCCGGCGGCTGAGGATGTGGAGATATGGGTTCGCGGCGCCGACGATTAGCGTAAGATGACTGAAGCGCCTCCCCCAGTCGTTTCCGCCTTTCCCTAAGTGCTTGTTGTGTTGGGGGAACACACGGTTCCCATTTGTGTGTCGCACCCCGCGCCCACCATGGATCGCGGTTGCGGGGTAGGTTCTCCCATGTCATGTTTCGCCGCCTGACATCCTGCATGTCTTCACACATGTTGTGCAGGATGACACAACACGCGGCACCGGCGAGTATGCGCCACAACCTGCAGTCGTTGCGCTGGCCGAAGATGCGCCATCTCCCTTTGAACGCGCCGATGCATCTCTCCACGGCCATGCGTGTGGCGCTTTGACAGTAGTTGAAAGTTTGAGCCCAGTCGTCCATGAGGTCCTCTCCTCGTGGGGCATGCAGGGGTGTTAGGCAGTACTCCCGTAATGGGTAGGCCGCGTCACCAACGATCTGGTATGGGGCTATGTCCCCGTTGTGTAACCTCTCAAGTAGTACAGACTCTTTGAAAACCCGCATGTCGTGCGCGCTACCAGGATACCCGATAAGGTAGTCCCATATTCTCCCTCGTGCGTCACATGTGAGCTGGAGTTGTACGGCATATGCGGATTTCCTTGTCCAGTACTCTGTTCTATGCCCCTCCATCCCCTTCATGTGTATATGAGTGCCGTCCACAGCACCCACCACAGCAGGTATACCCTTGACGGCCGCAAACTCCCGCGCCATCTCTGGAAGCTCTTCACGGGTGGGAAATCGCACCCAGGCGGCCTTGAAGACGGAGGGGAACTGCGTGAGAAATACGTCGACCAGCTCGTGGCAGAGAGTTTTGGAGATGCCGAACAGGTACGATATGTCGACGTACGAGATTCCAGAGGCCAGGTACTTGATTGGGATTAGCACTGCAGTGTCCAAAGTGAGAATGGATCGGTGAACTATTGGCTCTAGGTAGTGTTGCAGCCCTGCCTTGATGTGCTCCAGTATTGAACGGTTGATCCTGAAGAGATCCTGAAAGTCATTCTCCCGCATGTGTTGCAGGTCTTCAACCCACAGAGCGTGTCTCCGCTTTCGTATCCTCGCTCTGTGACGGCGGTTCTCGCCGTAATCGTCCCCGCAGGATGAGGACTGCTCTTCCTCGTCCTCGAAGACGCCTGACTCTATGAGGCCTACAAAGCTCTTGGACACATTTTCCTGGAAGATGGTGTAGTAGTAGGTTACCCAGGCGACGAGAAGGCGTAGGATGAATGGGATGGTTCGTGGCTCTGCCATGTTGTGTGGATTGGACGAGCTGTAGTTTTTTTGTATGTGTGTCTCTGGATTATACTAGCTCCTTGTGTGTGCTTCATATTGCCATAGTACCCGCTGTCGCACTTATTGGAAGCGCGGATGTATTGTGTACAGGGCTCTCGCTAGGTTTTGGGGCTGTCTGTCAGTAGCCTGGAAAAATTTTCCCCCGTCTTATGCTCGGACGACGAAATTTTCATGGTCTGCATTATAAGCTGAAAACATTTTTCTAGTCTGATACATAAGACGAAAAAAAAAAATCAGTCAAAAGTCAACCTACTGTAATCCTGCAGAGTCAAAAGTCAACCCCATCACCGTGCAGTGCATTGAGAACCGAAAGGCGCTGCGTGTTGGGAGCGGGGGGCACTACGACCACAATGCAAATGCGCTGGCACGAGACAACGCGTTGCCGTGGATGTGGCTGGTGTCGGTGCCGACAGCCAGCCACACGACAAACTCTTGGCAGCATATGCCGCAGTTACATGACAGCGAGGCTGCTACTGGACACGCGTATTGAATGCGTGTGCAGTTACAGGGCAGCAAATGGCTGTACATGTGCTCCTATCCTCGTCTACTGGGCATATGGCCTAGTGGGTCAAGATGTCGGTTTCAGACGAAACCGAACTCGATATCTGTATATTCAGATTAAGAATTCTACATGGTCTGGAAAATCATACGAACCTGAAACGCTTGTCTTACTGATCAGATGAGAAAAAACACAAAGTCTTAGGAAGCAGATGAATACAAAAAATCAAGTCTTAAACTCAGACCATCAGACCAAATTGGTCTGATAACGAGAACCCTGGTTGTGTATCATCCGCGGTCTCCCCGTACGGATTTGTGTTTCCTGCGGTTGACGGGAGGCGGGGATGTTTGTTCTTTTGGCGGGAAAATGGGCCAGGATGGACGGTGACCAATCAGCAGGGGTCGCAAATAATTGTCGCTTCACACAGCAGAGTCGCAATACATCGATCGATTGGGACATGCAGATTCGGGAAAATTGGGCGCGACTCGACGAAAAGGGGATTGAAACATATCGATTGAGACACAAATCCACAGCGGAATGTACCCTTAGGATTCGTCTGAAAAGCTAGACAACGTTACATTTTTCGTCTGACAATCAGACAAAGAGCCAGGACCCGGTCTTACTGCACGGGTCATTTTACTAAAGTTAGCCCTGCTTCTGGGGTGTCTATGCATCACATCATATTGTCAAAATGCTAGGCCAAAACGAGAAACAGGCAAGAAGGGGTTTTGACTAACAAGCATAGGGATACATATATGCAAACCCTAGAAGGGCTGTACTCGCTATAGAGTACCCCACTGCAGGCTAGAAAACCATCACATTCTGACACACCCCCATAGTCAAAGTGGGGTACAATCAACATAACAAGCAGACAGAGCAATAGTTCACAATTATAAGCAAAGCTAGAGGCTATCACAGAGGGCAAGTGAGGAGGAGGAGAAAACTGTGGGAGCAAGAAGATGAGAGGCGACGGCTGAAGCTGCAGACACACAGGCAGCAGGAGTACGCCGCACTGACGCTACCAGGCTAAACCCGGACTACACGGCGACAGGGGGTCGCAGCTGGCTCGCTGTGCTCCCAGGAGTGCACACACTGTAGCTACCGGGCGCAGAGCCCCGGACTACTCAGGCCACAGGGGGTCGTGGCTCCCTGGACTTCAGGCGCTGCGGACGACAAGTCGACGGCCTCCTCTCAACTTCCCCCAGCTGTCCCACCCCCTTTTTACACACCCCCTGCTGTTCCCCTAGCACCGCTCACACTACACCCCCTAGCGCCACTCCCTCGGCTCCCACACACCCACCCCCCTCAGCGGCAGCTGCAGCAGTGGGAGACGGAGAAGGAGGAGGAGGAGGGGAACGGCACTCAGTGGCTTCACCCCCATACCCCTCACCCCCAAACCCTAATTCAGGAGAACGGGCTGTAGGAGGGGTGGGGCGCCAGTAGAAGCACGGGGGACAGTGGGGAGGGCAGGGGCAGCGAGGAACGGGCCGCCCACGGGCCTGGCATAGCCGCCCGAACCGCGCGCAGGCGGCCCGAGCCGCGCGCGGGCCTGGCGCTTCCCGTACGGGCCGCGCGCGGGCCTGGCGCAGCCCGTACGGGCCGCGCGCGGGCCTGGCGCAGCCCGTATGAGCCGCGCGCCGGCTGTACGGGCCGCGCGCAGGCCACGACGGGCGACGGGGGGCGACGCGCGGGTCCCCGTCGCCCGTCGCAGCGCCTCCCGGGGGCGACGCGCCGAGTGACGGGGCAGAAAACCGCCGCGCGCCCCGGGCGCGCGGCGGGAAGAAAAAATCGCTGCGCGCCCGGAGCGCGCGGCAGGCAGGAAACAGCAGGAAACAACAGCGGAAGCTTCTGGTGGGACCACCCACAGGATCGACCCAGGAGGGTCGACCTGCTCTGATACCATGTCAAAATGCTAGGCCAAAACGAGAAACAGGCAAGAAGGGGTTTTGACTAACAAGCATAGGGATACATATATGCAAACCCTAGAAGGGCTGTACTCGCTATAGAGTACCCCACTGCAGGCTAGACAACCATCACATTCTGACACATATCAGAGCTAAACCAGCCAAGGGCAGTAAGGATAAACCAATCCAATGCACAACAAGAGGGTCTAGGAGCTCGCCGGTATGGTAGATGATAGGTATGCTGGGCCGGGTGACTGATACATTCTATGAACCCACAATGCTCTTCCAGACCCTGACTAAGCAACATGGAATGAGGAGAATGATCATTATTGTGTTCCTTCGTGACAGAATTGGGCTCAGTTTTGCATTTCTTGCAAGAGAATTTGAGCCAAGAGTGAATCAATGGATAGGAGGGGAGGCTACAAGAGGAAAAGCTACCGGTACCGGTATCAGCACAGTGCAGTTTCCGGTACGCATGTCACGCAACCGCTGCTGCGGCTGCAACCGAGGCCAGATAATGATGAACAATTGCGCTTTGTATTGTATCGTGTCAAGACTGTAGCGCATGGTCAGGTGTAGAGGCTGGCTTTGGACTCGAGAATGAGAGCTTGAAGCTCCTCCCCGTTGATGCTCTCCTTCTCCAATAGCACCTCCACCACTCTGCAGTTACCGATAAGAGGGACAACAGGGATAACGGGAGAGCAGAGGGGGGCAGTGTAGTTATATGTCTGTCAGGCCAGATGTCCATTGGGGAATGCTATGTCGGCTTTACAACAGGATCCTTTCACTGATGCTCCTGTTCACCAAGGCGCAAATCCAACGTATCAAAGCGTTCAGCCACTGTGTTGGTTTGCTCTTGCAAGCCTGGTTTGCCCCTGAAGAAGCACCTCCAACACGTCACAAATGAGAGAGTGTGTGGGGGTGGACAGGGGTATGAGATGGACACCCCCCCACACACATACACACTAAACACACACTCTCTCCCTCTCACACACACACCCACCTGTGAAGCAGCCCAATGTTCTCCTCCAGTGCACTCTTGGCTTTCCTGTACGCCGTGTCCACTAGCCGCCGAACCTCACCGTCCACCACCAGCTTCGTCTGCTGCGAACACTCCGCCTCGCTAGCCGCGCCGCCCCTGCTACCGAGAAAGCTGGGGCCGCGACTGGATACCAGCGCCACCTGTCCCACTGCAGGGCTGAATCCCCACTGCTCCACCATCCTGCGAGCTGTGCTGGTGACCTGGGGGAGAGAGAGGGCGAGAAAAAGAGTGGTTTGAGTTGATCCCAAACACACGGAGAAAGTTGGGAAAGACTGGACACCAGCGCCAGCTGTCCCACTGCAGGGCTGAATCCCCACTGCTCCACCATCCTCCGAGCTGTGCTCGTGACCTGGGAGGTAGAGGCCGGGAAAGGGGGCATGTAAGGGAGAGGAAGGGGGAGAAAAAAAGAGGTTGGGGCCGCGACTGGACAGGCCACCTGTCCCACTGCAGGGCTGAACCCCCTGCTCCACCATCCTGCGAGCTGTGCTGGTGACCAGAGAGAGGGGAGGAGAGGGGGTGATGTGGGGGAAGGGGGAGGAAGAAAACAGGTAGGGTGATGAGAGAGGGAGAACAAAGAGAGGAGAAAGTAACAGAGGCACAGACACAGAGACACAAGGAGCAGTACCAATATACACACCTGCTGCAGGTCGTTACTCGCCCCAGTGGTCACCCTCTCCTCCCCAAAGATAATCTCCTCCGCCACTCTCCCCCCTAGCGCCACCTTTTGAGGCGCCTCAAGAGCAGGCCCAGCAACACAAGGAGGATAGTACAAACCTACGCACCTGCTGCAGGTCGTTGCTCGCCCCAGTCGTCACCCTCTCCTCCCCAAAAATAATCTCCTCCGCCACTCTCCCCCCTAGCGCCACCTTTTGAGGCGCCTCAAGAGCAGGCCCAGCAACACAAGGAGGATAGTACAAACCTACGCACCTGCTGCAGGTCGTTGCTCGCCCCAGTCGTCACCCTTTCCTCCCCAAAAATAATCTCCTCCGCCACTCTCCCCCCTAGCGCCACCGCCAACTGCGCCTCCAAATACGCGCGGCTATACAACCCACTCTCCAACCTCTCCTCGCTCGGCGCAAAAAACGTCAACCCCCCAGCTCCTCCCCTTGGCACAATCGTGACTTTCTCGACCGGATCGTCAAACGCGGAAAGGAGAGAAGCCACCAGCGCGTGACCGGCTTCATGGTAAGCCACAAGGCGTTGCTTCTCCAGGGAGACTACGGCTGCGCGGCGCTCGGGGCCGATGGTGATGCGCTCCAGGGCGTCTGAGATCTCCTCGGCGGTGATTGCCGGGAGGTCCTTGCGCGCTGCAGCGATGGCTGCCTCGTTCATGAGATTCTGCAGGTCGGCACCGGTGAATCCGGGCGTCCGGCGGGCCACCTTCTCTAGGTCAACACTTGCATCCAGACGCTTGCCACGGGAATGGACCTGGCGAAGGGAAGGGGGGGAAGGGGCGGTGGGTGGATAGGGATTGGTAAGAAGAGGGGCGAATGGGGTGTTTGCTGTACTGGCGTCTGAGATCTCCTTGGCGGTGATTGCCGGGAGGTCCTTGCGCGCTGCGGCGATGGCTGCTTCGTTCACGAGGTTCTGCAGGTCGGCACCGGTGAAGCCGGGCGTGCGGCGAGCGACTTTCTCTAGGTCGACGGTTGCGTCGAGACGCTTGCCGCGAGCGTGCACCTGGAGAGGGGGGGAAAAGCGGGGGGGAAGGGGGTGGAGAGGAGGGAATGGAGGTGGGGAGGGGGAGGGGTAGGAGGGGAGTCAAGAGTTTGTGAGCTGGTGTATACTACTTTGTCCTGATTTAGTGCGCCCGATTCTGAGGTGCTGACTTGGAAAGAAGAGTTAACAGCCTGCGTCCAGTCAGTTGAGGGTGAAATTCAGACGTCCAGTCAGTCAGTTTTGAGCCGCCTTGGGTTTCTATACTTGGGCCGCGTCCATCACCCATGTTCCATGCCCTTTGAGGCCCCTCAAACGTCAACCCACGCTCCATGCACTCAAGATTCTGATCTGCTCTTGTTTGTTATCAGTGTGTGTGGCCCTGCCCACATCAGGCATTTGCAGCAGCTCTCTTCTACCTGATTGATGCCTATGCCACCAGACCTCCACCATCCACACGAAACCCAAGACTATCCAAGGAAGGACAAGAAAGAAGCATAAGACGAAACGAGAACCCCTCTGTTCCCTCCCTTGTCCCTTTCTCACCTCGAGGATCTTGACTCGCCCCTTCACGTCCGGCCGGTCCACAACGACTTGCCGGTCGAACCTTCCCGGCCTGGTCAATGCCGCATCGAGCACGTTTTTTGAGTCGACTCAAAACTCACCTCCAGAATCTTGACTCGCCCCTTCACGTCGGGCCGGTCCACAACCACCTGCCGGTCGAACCTCCCCGGCCTGGTCAGCGCAGCATCGAGCACATCGGGGCGGTTAGTAGCAGCGAGCACGATCACGCCCGTGTTGCCCTGAAAGCCGTCCATCTCCGTCAGCAGCTGGTTGATGGTCTGCTCGCGCTCTCTTGCTCTCTTGCTCCCTCTGGCGCTCAACCCAAAGCTTCCCCCCTCCTTTCCAACCATCAACCGCAAGACACACAGAAAAGAGACACAAGATTTCTCACCTCGAGGATCTTGACTCGCCCCTTCACGTCCGGCCGGTCCACAACGACTTGCCGGTCAAACCTCCCAGGCCTTGTCAACGCCGCATCGAGCACGTCAGGGCGATTAGTAGCGGCGAGCACGATTACACCCGTGTTGCCCTGAAAGCCGTCCATCTCCGTCAGCAGCTGGTTGATGGTCTGCTCGCGCTCGTCGTTGCCACCGCCCATGCCGCCCCCGCGCTGCCGCCCCACCGCGTCCAGCTCGTCTATGAAGATGATGCACGGCGCCTTGGACTTGGCCTGAGAGGGGAGAGGGGTTGAGTGAGGTGGAAGGGCAAAGGGAGGGGTTTAGGAGGGGTTGTCTCGCGGCACCGCGTCCAGCTCGTCTATGAAGATGATGCACGGCGCCTTGGACTTGGCCTGGTGGAGTGGGAAGAGAGGGCGGTTGGGGGCAAACAATAGGGAGGGAGATGAAGGGGAGGAGCAACAGCGGAGAGCGGATGCCCCACAATGTCCAGCTCGTCTATAAAGATGATTCAGGGCGCCTTGGACTTGGCCTGGTGGGGAAAAGGGGGAGAGGGATTTGGGTGGGGTGGAAAGAAAGAAGGGAGGGTGGAAGGGAAGGCGAGGAGAGGTCGTCCCACTGTGTCCAGCTCGTCTATGAAGATGATGCAAGGAGAGGGGTTGAGTGAGGTGGAAAGGCGAAGGGATGGGCCTAGGAGGTGTTGCCTCGCTGCACCGTGTCCAGCTCGTCTATAAAGATGATGCAGAGCGACTTGGACTTGATCTGGGTTTCAGGGGTTTGGGGGGTTTGGGCATTGTGGAGGATGAAAGTTGGTGGGTGAGGTTGGTTGCCCCATTGGGTCCAGCTTGTCTATGAAGATGATGCACGAGGCCTTAAATCTCGCCGGGTGGAGGGGGGGGGTTTGAGTGGGGTGGAACGGGCTAAAGAAGACATACCTTGGCGAGGATATGCTTCCGTTTCTGAACTATCCTCTTTTTTTTTTTTTTTGCCCAGCCCCACAAAGATCTCGACAAACTCAAGAGGCGGCAATGGAGAAGAAGGGCACGCCCGCCTCCCCCGCCACTGCTTGTGCCCTGCAAACACCTGCCACGCACTCCCTGTTCTCCATTCCGTTCTCACCTTCTCAAAGAGCTCTCGGACTCTTGACGCACCCAGCCCCACAAAGATCTCCACAAACTCAGAAGCGCCGATGGAGAAGAAGGGCACGCCCGCCTCCCCCGCCACTGCGCGCGCCAGCAGCGTCTTGCCCGACCCTGGGGGACCCGCCAGGAGACACCCCTTGGGGATCTTGGCCCCCAGGTCCGTGTACTTGGCGGGGTTGCGCAGGAAGTCGACCATCTCCTGGTGTGGGGAGAAGGGGGGGGGGGTGTTGGATAGTGGAAGGGGAATGAGCAGACAGTTCTAGGGGACTTGGGAACCTTTGGGCGCCGAGGTCCGTGTACTTGGAGGGGTTGCGCAGGAAGTCATTCCTCGGAATGGTGGGAGGCCGAAGCGGATCAGGAGGAGAGAGGAGCACCACTAATCAGTAGTGAAAGACAATACGTGACTGCAGTTTCGATTGTTAGCAAAAAGCTGTAAGCCTGTAACCTGTGAGCGGTAGGACTTGTAGATTCGCTTAACTATGAGAATGACTTCACTTCAACATGCGTTAGACTTCGCTTCCCTGTACATAGTACTCTGTGTTTGTTCCTCCTGTTCTCCATTCCCCCGTCTCTGTCTACCCCGACCTCCTGTGTTTTCCCCGTGCTGCCACGTCACCTGCAGCTCCAGCTTGGCCTGGTCCACCCCTGCCACGTCATCGAAGCGCACTGACGTCTCAGGCTCCTCCTGGAACTTGCCCTTGCCGCTGGCGGTGTGGGGGGGGGGGTGGAGAAAGTTTGGGGGGGGGGGAGAGAAAGTTGGGTGGGGAGGAATGCGCAGAGGAGAGATGGTGTGAGTGAGGAGAGTGGGGAGACGAAGAGAGGAGCGGCGAGGGAGAGATGGAGAGAGTGAGATAAGGGAGCGAGGAGATATGATTGATGAGAGGAGGGAAGAAAAACGCGGAGAAAGGATTGACAGGAGTGGCAGAGAGGAGAGCGAAGAAGACGAATATCCAGTGTGACAAAGGCAGAGGGATTAAAGAGTAGCGCTCTAGTCAGCGCAACGAGCTCAGGTGCAATACATGTGCCCAACACATGGCAAACATGGGCCCAACACGTGGCTCCTTTCCAAACCTCCCCCTTCATTTCCCCCAACCTTCTCGCCTCTCCCGCCCTCTCCCCACACCCTCTCCTCTCCCCTGTCCCCTCTCTCACCGCTCTCTCCACCCTTTCACCTCTCCCCGCCCACCTCCACTTTTCTCCCCTCTCCCCTCCAACAACCTGAGGAGGCTACTGCAGGGACCATTGGCCCCGAACGATTCGCCAAGATGAAACCGTGACTCCCGAATCAACTCAAGACTCCTCTCATCCCCACTACTCTCCCACCCACCCCCCTCCTCACCCACCGCTTCCCCCCTCTCTCCTCCCCCGCACCTGAGGAAGCTGCCAAAGGGGCCGTTGGGGCCGAACGGGTTCGCCTGGTTGAAGAGCAGGAAGGGCAGGCCGAAGGCGATCATGAGCGGCAGCACGGTGTCGAAGACGAGCTCGATGGCGAAGGCCACCTTGGGGTCCAGCCCCGCGTCGATCTTCGTCTCCACGCCCTGCCGCGCTAGAGTATCCGCCAGTTCCGTGGATACCCCCTTGAGTGTGGGGATCATCACCTGGGTGAGGGGAAGCGCGGTGAAAGCGCGCGCGGGGAAAGGGGGTGAGGTTGCGGAGACGGTGTGCGCAGCGGTGTGCGAGATGCGGGGTGAGGAGGATGGGAAATGAGGGAGGTAGGAAGGAGGGCGAGGAGGGAAGGGATAAAGAACGGGGGTTGGGGCGTGTGCGAGCGGATAGGAGAGTGAAAGCAAGGAAATGAGAATTGCGCAGAATAAGTGGATCAACGGTCCAGATGCCCGCACACAAACCTTGTGTTCATCGCCGCTCTTGGTGGTAGCCACGAGCGAATACCCCGTAGTGCTGAACTCCACAGATGCCACCTCCCCCGCATCTACCTCCGCCAGGAAGCGGCTGTACCGCCACTCCCCGTCGTCCGCCTCCGCTTCCGCCTGCGCTTCCGCTTCCGCCGATGCGCCGGCAACTTCTGGCGCAGTCATTCCTCCAAAGACCTGCATTATCTGTGGCTGCTGCCGCTGTGATTGCTCGAGTGCTATAGTTTCTGCCGGGACCGTGGAGGGAAGGGCAGAAGGTCCGTCCAGAGCATACGCGGCGGGCGCGCTCGGTAGCAACAACAGCCAGGCAGCGGCGAAAGCAGCACCGGCTGAAGGGAATTTCGAAGCGGTGCATTTGGTAATTGCAGGGGTATCACTGGCAGAGGTGCTGGCACTGAATTTATTCGAGGGTGAGGACGAGGTTAGGGCCGAAATGACGGAGGACACGGACTGCCGCCGGGAGTTGCGGCGGAGTGCGGGGAGTTGGGGAGAGGAGGACGGGAGGAGCGGGGAGAGACGACGCGCGAGGCGTAACGGACGACCGCCACTAAGAGTGGCGTTTACCGTGGTTCCGAGGCTGCTGCTTCTGCTGCATGGCGCGCGTGAGAGGCTCCCAGACACAACCGACTGAGTGGCTGTTGAAGCCATATCCCGAAGAAGAGCGAGCGAGAGCGAGAGTAGTCGTCAACTTCGCCAATACACGAGCTGGTTAGGTTCGAGCTGGTTTCAGGCTAGAAAGCTGCCTCGAGGAGGGACCGCGTACGCAGCACTATGGTATTTCCAGGGAAGAGAGATTCTTTCAGGGAACCAGGCCAAGGAAACAGCCCAGACTATATGAGAACCAGTTGGCGTGCCTGAATTCCGTCGTTAGAAAGCACACATAGGCGGCGGATCACGCGGCAATGCCGGGGTATTGTGAACCTTCCGCCACTTCTCGAGCACCTTATATACTCAGCACACTTAGACCCGTCGCTGCGAATTAGACCAGACCAGAAGCGCTACGACGGTTCGACTACACACCTAGTAGAAGAGCGGGCCGGGCTCTACCGGATCGGCTCAGCTCGGCACTCCCTTGGGCACAACTGTACAAGAATGCCTGCTGTTGTGTGCGTTATCTGTAGTGTGCGTGTCTGGTCAGGATGGGCTCTGGTCTAGAATCTGACTGAAATGTCCCTTGCCTCTGCGCGGTTCCTACTTCACTGCTGCTTGCTGTTTTCCATCCTGCATGGTGCATCCTGGAGGGGGCAGGCGGAGCTTCTGGATTGGCGAATTTCGGCCGTGAATCCTGGTCCTGGCGTGTGGTGCGGTGCATGATCAATTCGGAGGTTCCAGTCTAAAAAGTGGCGGGAACTTTGTGGAAACTTCAAGGGCCAGTAATCCGAAACCTCGAATAGTGCCACGTAGAGGCTAGGTGATTGAGAGACACGTTGCCTGATCTGAACCGTCTGGTCCAGGCACGTGGCGACTTCAACTGTGCCTTAGAAATGCATCCGAAGTACCCAGAGAATGAATGCTCCAATTCAAGGATAAGTGGCATTCACCTTCTAGCAGATAGCTTTTGGAATAAACAAACATCACACAAAAAAGTATTGATTGACCACATCCAGCATTACCATATATGCATATGTCCGCTAAACAATTGGCATATATGAGATGATTTTGGTGTTGAAATATCATTACTGGAATGTATAGAATATACCAGTGCTTAAACAATCCATTTTGAAGTTTATAAAAGATATAATACTTCTATAAATGCTTTGTTTACTTCTCGGACAGCATGGAGCCAAGCCATGAAGGTATGGTCTAGGGGCCCGTATTGCTGCTAGCTAGCTGTCTGCAAAAAACAGTGAATAAAGGTGTTACGATATGAAACTTTACGATAAGGCATTCCTGTATGCTGCAGGAGCCGACTCTACCGAGTACGAAGTCGAGGAGTCAGAAGAGTCGAAGCGACACAGCAACCGTCTGATCAAGACCGATGCAGGCAGAAACATTTGAAGTGAAAAGAGCGTGAACAGGTTTGAAACTGGTCCCCGCGTCGCACGGTTTGAATTTCGCTACAATAAAGGAATGCATACCTTAGAATATATGGCTAGTCTAGGTCGTTTCGCATTCCTTTGTATTTCTATATAAACCCTATCTATGCATGCTTTTTCAATTTCAGACATTTACATTCACTCTGACCTGAGTTCACTACTTCCGCTGCGACACAACCTGCGATCAACCCTGAATGATCTTTTCGCTAAGTCGTACTTTATATTGTAACATGGTATGAGAGCTGCTCAGGGATTCTTCGCAATGTCACTTCCGTAAAATTCGCCAAATCTAGATCTCGCGAGCGGCACTCGCTCCAAGACAAAGATAGCCGGAGGATCCGGAGGCCAAACAAATCTAACGGCCGAAGGACAAACCAACCCGGCTGCGACAAATGAGGCGACAACCACGATCGGCTTTGCCGCGCTCGAGCAGTTATTCGCTCGACTGTCAACTATGGAGAAAGAACTCCAAGATTTGCGCAAAGGCGATGCGGGAACCACTTCCCAACCAGCTCAACCTGGACAACCGGCTGCGAAAAGCCGCGATACCGCCGCGCATGGCTTTTCCCTCGACTCAGCGGCGAAACAATCAACTCTACGCAAGCACGTTTTCTCAGCGTGTCAAAAATCAAGACGACCGCCGCGTTTGATGGCAAGGATTTCTACACATGGAGTTTTGAGCTTGAGCTCCTCCTACAGACAGCGCAGATCTACCACTACTTCGACGGCTCCTATCCTAAACCGGTGGAAAACACCGAAGACGCCCGGGCTTAATATAACAGTGAGTCCCTCATGGCGTACAGCGTTCTGCTACGCAACATGTCACTTGCAGAACAGCTCGGCATTCGCTCCTACAAAGAGAGCGCCGCTCCAGCTTTGGAAGCTTGGAAGCATCTCATTGAAGTATATCAGCCGAAGGATTCCGTCACTGCCAGCAGACTCCTGCAACAACTCATGGAGACCAAGATGGGGCACGGAGAGAAAGCAAACAGTTATACGAACCGTTGTCGGAACATCCGCGATCAAATCATGAAGAACAGAAGTTCTATCTCGGAGGAGATCTTCGTCAACATCATCCTCCAGAGACTTGGGCCTGAGTGGAAGCCCTGCGATGCGCTACTTCGACAACGAGGAACCCTCTCAGAAGCCGCGCTATGCGCCGTATCGCTGACTGAACAGCAGGACATGGATTCGAGCAGGACAAGCTCCGCGCCGCGCCGAGAGCGCCTCGCCTTCTACGCAGACAACCGTGAAGAGCGACGACAACCAAGGCGCCACTAATGCAAAATATACAAAGTCTTTTGACATTCAACGGATCGATGTAAATCCAACTATCGCCACCCGAATTCCACTCACCATAACAACTGGGTCGGCCGACAAGATGCTCGTCATTCTTAGCCTCAACAACAGACCTCACGTCCTCCTGCACAGCAACAACCACAGCAAGCACAAGGAACTCAAGGGGGAGCTCCTAGTGTCAAACATTGTATGTTTATATTGTGTAGGCTATAGTGGGTTTAGCCTTAGAGGGTACACAAACTTAGGGTTTCATACTTGTACCCACCTTCCTGCTAGTTCATCCATTCTCGTTCTATTCTAGATTCTAACATGGTATCAGAGGCCTAGGTTGCTACCTAGGACCGCTTTCTACAATGGGCCCACTATTCCGCTAGGCGCGCCCTCGTGCGCCCTACCTTACGTGCGCCCTCGTGCGCCCTACCTTACGTGCGCCCTCGTGCGCTCTACCTTACGTGCGCCCTCGTGCGCCCTCGTGCGCCCTCGTGCGCCTTTCTCTGCTAGTGCGCCTTCGTGCGCCCTCGTGCGCCCTCGTGCGCCCTCGTGCGCCCTCGTGCGCCCTCGTACGCCCTCGTGCGCCCTCGTGCGCTCTCGAGCTGCCCCTGCAGGTCCGTCAGGCCCCCGAGCCGCCGCTGCAGGCCCGTCAGGCCCGAGAGCCGCCCCTGCACACCCGTCAGGCCCGCGCGCAGCCTCTGCACGACCGCGCGCCGCCCCTGCAGGCTCTCGCCGCCCGCCGCGTCGCCCTGCCCGTGGCGTCGCCGCCTCCCCGCGGCGTCGTCGCCTGCCCGCGACGCAGCCCCTGCCCGCGGCGTCGTCGCCTGCCCGCGGCGTCGTCGCCTGCCCGCGGCGTCGTCGCCTGCCCGCGGCGTCGCCGCCTGCCCGCGGCGTCGTCGCCTGCCCGCGGCGGCGTCGCCTGCCCGCGGCGGCGTCGCCTGCCCGCGGCGGCGTCGCCTGCCCGCGGCGTCGTCTGTCAGAATCCCAGTCACTAACCACTGGGATAAAAGGGCTTGTTTGTGTAGCGGGTGAGTGCGCCCATAACCCCCCAGACCAACGTGCCTGTAACCCTTCCCTAGGATCAATCGGGGATCACCAGTGGACCTTTGACACCCCCCCGCACTGGGATGCCCGAAGTGCACACACCGGGATTCGAACCCGAGACCTTTGCTCTGATACCATGTCAGAATCCCAGTCACTAACCACTGGGATAAAAGGGCTTGTTTGTGTAGCGGGTGAGTGCGCCCATAACCCCCCAGGCCAACGTGCCTGTAACCCTTCTCTAGGATCAATCGGGGATCACCAGTGGACCTCTGACACCCCCTCGCACTGGGATGCCCGAGGTGCACACACCGGGATTCGAACCCGAGACCTTCGCTCTGATACCATGTCAGAATCCCAGTCACTAACCACTGGGATAAAAGGGCTTGTTTGTGTAGCGGGTGAGTGCGCCCATAACCCCCCAGACCAACGTGCCTGTAACCCTTCCCTAGGATCAATCGGGGATCACCAGTGGACCTTTGACACCCCCCCGCACTGGGATGCCCGAAGTGCACACACCGGGATTCGAACCCGAGACCTTTGCTCTGATACCATGTCAGAATCCCAGTCACTAACCACTGGGATAAAAGGGCTTGTTTGTGTAGCGGGTGAGTGCGCCCATAACCCCCCAGGCCAACGTGCCTGTAACCCTTCTCTAGGATCAATCGGGGATCACCAGTGGACCTCTGACACCCCCTCGCACTGGGATGCCCGAGGTGCACACACCGGGATTCGAACCCGAGACCTTCGCTCTGATACCATGTCAGAATCCCAGTCACTAACCACTGGGATAAAAGG